GGATCTGGGATCACTTTCCCCCAACCTCATTGTAGTTGTGAATTCTTGGGGTCACTCTTCTGGCTGTCAGCCAGCCCAGAGTGGTTTAACAGTCAACCTCTCTTCCCAGGAAACTCTGTACTAGGGCTTAGTTCAGGATGAAAATTGTAATTCTGGGAGGGGAACAGGGGTCTTAACAACTCTCAGCCACCCTCAACAAACTACAGCTCCCAGGACTCTTTGGGGAGAAGACATGACTGTTTAAAATGATATCATAGTACTTTAAATGAATGGTGTGAATGTGGCCATTCTTCCTCTTTTAGTTTGACACATTTCTTTTTGAAGGCTTGCTCATTGCCAGGCATAGATTTCTTTTCTTTTTCTTCTTCTTTGTTGTGTCCAGCTCCAGCCGTACTTCATAGCAGTTACTCTGGGTTATGAGACCAGAATAACTCCCTCTCTCCCTCTCTGTCTCTCTTTCAAATAAAGGGAAAGAAATACAGTGTAGGGCTTTAACCATGGAGAATAGGTTGGTGGGAGAGAGAGGCGGTGGGAAAGAAAAGTGCTTGAAGGAACGTTCTGAAAAATTCCACAGAACTCTCCTCACACTTGCATCATCTGGTGAGGAACAAGTGGGCATTGGATGCAAAGGCACTCCGAATGCCAGCCGTCATGGCTGCCAACTCCCAGCATGCAGCTGTTCCTCTCCTCTTCCAGTTTGCCTCAGGTTAGTTGCCAACCGGCAAACCTTCTCCCACCTCAATAATGAAAATCTTTTGACAGCCAGCATCAACGGACAGCTCTTGAGTTTTCCCTCATACTGGGTCCCGTGAAACACTTTGTAGCTTATGAGCCAGGAGTTGGCGGTGGGGGTGATGTGAGCGGCAGAGAGGGGTGGCAGTGTTGGAGTGAGGTTGGACGTGCAGCACTTTCAACAGAACACGTGAAGCTTCAGCCCTCCACTTGCAGAGTCCATATTCTGCTAAAACAAGATAGCGAGCCATTTTGGTGACTGCCAAGGGAGATGAGAGGCAGCACTGCCAGGTTATCAGTTTGGAATCCTGGTTCCGCAGGCTTAAAAAGAAAAAGAAAAACCTAACTTTTTGTTCAGAATTATTGAATGGAGGAGGGGGAGAAACTCCAGCTGTACAGTGGTACCTCGGGTTACATACGCTTCAGGTTATAGACTCCGCTAACCCAGAAATAGTGCTTCAGGTTAAGAACTTTGCTACAGGATGAGAACAGAAATCTTGCTCCAGCAGCGCGGCGGCAGCAGGAGGCTCCATTAGCTAAAGTGGTGCTCCAGGTTAAGAACAGATTCAGGTTAAGAACGGACCTCCGGAACGAATTAAGTACTTAACCTGAGATACCACTGTATTTGCTTCTTGAACCCCTCAAATTTAGCAATAACTGCAGGAAACAGGCCACATTCAAAACATACATTTAAAGCTATACTATGATACCACTTTAAACAGTCATGGCTTCTCCCCCCCCCCCAAAAAAAAAATATGTTTCTGGAACTGTAGTTTAAGGGCAATGATATCTCGAATTCCCTGGGGAATCGGATTGACCATTAAACCCCACAGAGAATTGTCGCTCTGTGAGGGAAACGGGGGCCTCCTACCAGCTCTCCGTGCCTTTTACAAAATATGCCTTTCAGAATTAAGCCATGGCTGTTTAAAGTGGCATCATAGCAGCTCTTTAAGACTTGCCTGAGCATCAGTACCTCAAATTAGAGGAGGATTGGGGGGACGGCAGCCCCCCTCCCCTCATGACTATTGGAAGGCTGCATGGGGCGAGGGCAATATTTGGCCCGCAAACCTCTGTTGAAAACCCACCCCTGGCCCGTATCTCATCCCCCGTGTCTGTTGGTGGGCCCTGTGCCTGGCAGAAGAGGGCAGTCTGGTCTCCAGCTGTGTATGGCTTTTGTTTAATTTGGCTGCCTATATTCAGATCCACCCTTGTTCAGTGTTTGACTTGCAGAGGGGATGGGGCAACCTGGCTGCCCCCTACCCAGGCAACTGTTCATAGGGGAAGGTTATGGGGGATGTCTGTGACCTGGGTTAAATTAGGAGGAGTCAGGCATGGGGCTTAAGGAGTTTCATTAAGGGCAGACCTACTTTTCTTGTACAGTGGTACCTCAGGTTACATATGCTTCAGGTTACATACGCTTCAGGTTACAGACTCCGCTAACCCAGAAATATTGCTTCAGGTTAAGAAGTTTGCTTCAGGATGAGAACAGAAATCGTGCTCCGGCGGCAGGGCAGCAGCAGGAGGCCCCCTTAGCTAAAGTGGTGCTTCAGGTTAAGAACAGTTTCAGGTTAAGAACGGACCCTCCGGAACGAATTAAGTACTTAACCCGAGGTACCACTGTAATTCAATCACGGCAGGTCACAATTGGAATGACTCCTGAATTCTCATAGGGATAGATAGATAGATAGATAGATAGATAGATGAGTGCAAAGGGAATTGTGTATTGTACAGAAATCCTTATTTCGTGTGGCTGCAGAAGAATTACGTCTTGCAAATCTGATAAGGCAAAAGTGTGTGCTGTCACTGCCAGGTGACTAGGCCCAACACTCACTTGAACAGTTTCTGGCAAATCCTATAATGTTTAGCAGATCTTAGCAAACTGCTTTTCCTCAATAGCGCTTATCCTCTGCTTCTTAAAACTGGCAAAATTTATTGCTGGGTAAGAACTGAAAAGCATAAATACCCATCTCCTGAAGTGTAAAAGCTTTGTTCAGCCTCATTCAACTTCTGAGTCCTGTATACATTTACTTAGATTCCTGGGTAAATCATTAGGATTTTTGCCAGTCCATCGTACTAGCTGTGAAAACCAGGGATGGTAAAAGGAAAAGTATTGGGGGGGGGGGGCGAGACTGAAGAATTAGGATGGAACAAACACTTCCTCCTGGGTCAGGCCTGCACAACTTGTCACCTACAACATACACAGCCCACAAACCATGTAATGAGGGCCAGTAGTCTCATTGTTTCGACTTATTCAGGATGCTTCCAGATTTGAGTTTATTGTGGAATCAGTGTTTTTCATGCATGCAAGTTTTTGTCTTTCTTTTGCAATGTCCATGCATTTCTCTCTATTTAATCCCAGTTGAGAAACACCTTTCTGTGCCCACTCTTTTCTTGCCATGCATTATTTTATAAACTTCTATAATGTACCATCTCACTTGTCTTGTCTCTAAATTAAAAAGTCCCAGACACTGCAACCTTTCCTCATTGGCACACAGTGCTTGGTAGTCTGAGCTACTAAGAGATTTATTCTGGGTAACTGGAGACGGCATCTCTCTCTCTCCCTTGAACCTGGACAAACCAGGTCTGATTTGAGTGGAGGTGGTCTTGCTGGTGTTATAATGGAATTAAATTGCTAACCCTTTGCCAATAGAAGCCCTCCAACTTTGTGGAAATTTGCTGCTACCTACCCTAAACCTCTGTGAATACGGTGGGCTGTATATCTGGCTTAATAATCTATATCCTGTTTTTTGAACACACACACACACACAGAAGGATGAGGATTTGCCCAGGCAAGCCTAGTGGGATTAAGCCACTGGTGTGTAAATTGTTGTTATTCATTACCATCTAAAAAAAAAAGTGAATATATGGTAGATCTTTATCACAATAGGGTATTTCCACAACATGCATTTTTTCTCTTTGCTTCTGTGTGTTTCTCTTTTTTAGCAGGAGGGTGTGTGGTGGGGTTCAATTTCTTGTCTGTTGCTTCAGTTCAGAAGTGGGGGGAGAAAACTATATTGAGTGATGATAGTTGGTGCCTCAGGCAGAAAAGCAATATAGCAGAACGGTTGCCAGACAGTTTGACAGAGGATGGACTGGATGTGAACAAATGCAGGCACTGACGAGACAGAATGGAAGTATGAATGAGCAGAAGGGTATTGGTTTCAGGTGTGCCTTGAGGGGCCCACAGTGGCAGCAGAGGCTTGTATTGTATTATTTAAAAGATCCTTGCTGAAGGGAAATGGGCAGCCTGTTTTGAGGCAATGAATAGTTACTAGTCTGGTTGGGAAGGCAGAATCATAGAATTGTGGAGTTGGAAAGTCATCTAGTCCAATTCCCTACAATGCAGGAATCTCAACTAGATCATACACGTAAAATGGTCACCCAACCTCTGTTTAAAAATTTCCAAGCAAGGAGAGTCCATGGAAGTCTGTTTCACTGTCAAACAGCTCTTTCTGTCAGAAAGTTATTCCTGATGTTTAGTTGGAATCTCCTTTCTTGTCCCTTGAATGCTTTGGTTCAGGTCCCAGCCTCTGGAGCAGGAAAAACAAGCTTGCTCCATCCTCCGTGTGACAGCACTTTAGATGTTTGAAGATGGCTATCACATCTCCTCTCAGTCTCCTCTTTACCAGTCTAAGTATACGCAGTTCCCTCAACTGTTCCTCATAAGGCTTGGTTTCCAGACCCTTGATCATCTTGGTCGCCCTTCTCTGCACATGGTCCAGCTTGTCAATATCCTTCTTAAATTTTGGTGCCTAGAACAGGACACAGTACTCCATGTGTGGTCTGACAAAGACAGAATAGAGCAGGACTATTCCCTATAGCTAAACTACACTGGGGAATATAAAAGAGAATGTACCACTGAATATGGACTCAGCAGAAGAGTTGTGGGAGCCAATGGAGATACTTCACCCAATCACTAGCTTGAGAAACCATGATGACTTGGTATATATGGTTGGAAGCCATGTCAGGTGTCACTGGTTCTCAGCCAAGTCCATGGGCTGTAGTGAACTAAGTTATGTTTAGAGCAGACACACTGAAATTAATGGGCCTAGGTAAGTCATGTCTATTATTTTCAATTGGCTACATTCTCTCTCTGCTAGTGTAAGGGCTCCAGTTCCTAGTGGACAGATGACTTTGAATGTGGTACAACAGAGGAATCCAATGTAACTATTGCAGTAGTGGAAACTTGTTGCTTCAAAGTTAAAGCATCAAAGGAGAATATTTAATAGCGCTAGAAAAGATGTTTGAACATGTTGTTTGCTTTCTAGAAAAGAAGAGGCAAAAAAAGGCAAAGCTTACCAATGACTGGAGAGAGCGGAGGAATGCTATTCGGCTCACAAATGAATACACAGTGGAAACACTCGTGGTGGCGGATGCTGATATGGTCCAGTACCATGGGGCAGATGCTGCTCAAAGATTCATTCTTACTGTGATGAACATGGTAGGTTCACTTGGCTTCCTTGAGATGTGTCTGCATTCAAAACTAGTCCTATGTTTTGATGTTTAGTTTTTGTATTTGAGTTTGAACTCTTTATTCATTTTTATATGAAACATCTTAGACAGGCATAGTTGCATCTTAGACAACCATAGTGCAGTAATTGTATGTGAGCTCTCTTTTGACAGCAATGAATCAAGTAATACTGATGGAGAGAAAGGGTTCTTGCAGGACTTCCGGGTTGACGCGATCTGGAAATGGCGGATTCCCTCCGAGCTCCGGAGGGAATCGGCTCCACTGAGGTTGGGTCTTTGCCGCGCCGGCGACGCGGGGACCCTTAAAAACCGCAGGCGCGGAAGCCTGCGGACTGAAGACTCGGCGGGTGCCTTAAGCGCCCCCCTGATTCGCAAAGAGCCTTTTTAAAGGCTGCGGAGGGGATACGGGGGTGGCGTGGCACTGAGAGTCGATCGCTACCTCGGTGGAGCGAAGCCGCGAGCCATGACCGGAGAGCGCTGACTTCCTTCCTTAAAAATTTGGACTGAAAGAATCACCCGTGAGTAAGACGGATTGGGACTTTTGAAAAATTTTACCTTTAATTGGAGACGACCGGGGGGTGTGCTAAAAGGAAGTCCGCACCCCCCCTTGCAGACCATCTAAGCAACGACACAAGAGATAAGCTGGAGAGCCTACCCTTGGTGGGGTGAGTTAAAAAGGACACTAACTTTCAAGATTTTACTAAAGGAAAAGTTTGTGCAGGAGAGTGGAGTTTTGGAAACCTCCCTTTTGTTTTAAACAACCCCCCTCCCGGGCTCGGGAACGTCCTGCCTTCGTGCCTGCGTTAGAGCTGCGGAGTTTGACAGCTGTCAAAGCTGCCAAACGGGCGGTTTTAAAGTGAGAAATTGCCATTTAAGATTTCTATGGACTAAGACGAGTTATAATTGAGCTGAAACTGTTGGAAACAAAGTAATAATAATCAGTTTAAGGATTGTTGGTGAAAAGGCAAATAAGTAACCAGATTCCCCCTAGGGGGAACTCTGTGAAACTACAATGGATACAATGGCTGTGGAAGGAAAGTTACTAGTGGAAATCGAAAGGATGTTTCAATTGGTGGGAATCTTACAGGAGCAGAGTTTGGCCATGAACAAACAACTTGAGACTATGACCTTGGGAACAGGCAACTCTGCTCTTTGTATTGAGGACCTTAATGAGAAAGAATCCACAGCTGATTGGGAAACAATATCTACAGAGCTGGAAGAGACTAAACAACAAGAAAAAGAAGAAGTAATCCTGGGAAGTAATAACCAAAAGTTGACATCTGTGGAATACAAGCAAGGAGACGCTGGGAACATATTCACCACAAGTCTGCGAGAGATACAGAAGAAGAAGGAGGAGGCCCCAAGACAAAATGGAGTACAGGAATTTAAAATAAAGAAATATGATTGGGGCCTCCGTTTGGACTTAGACTTGGAAGAGATAGACTTTGTGGAAATACTTCAGCAGCTACCTTTGAATCTTCTTGTTGGAAGAGGACATACTTTGATGATGAAAGAACTTTTCCCAGATCTGACGACTGCTGTAAAGGACTACCAACAGGACAGGCGGAGAGGAACGGAAATAGATTTGAAAGCCTCGGACGTGAGGAACCCAGGCTGAGAACTTCGAATTTGGATTTTTATTGGGAAGGGACAAAAACCGGGGATGGGAGGGAGGGAAGAAGAGACTCTTAAAAACTCTCAAGACCTTTAGGTTTGGTTAAGATGACTTTTAATTAAGATAAAATGAAAATCGATGGAAGAGAACTTAAATCCAACTTATGAAAACTAATTTTTATTATAAAAAAAAAAGGAAATAAGATGAATAAGATTGTTAAGAGGAGAAATATCAACTTGCTGACATAATCTTGAAACTGGGATGCATTTGGGGGGGTGGGGGGAAGTCAGGGAACAAGGTTATGAAATGGGGATTTGCTGACTTTATACATGTTTTTGTTTTTGTTTTTCTTTGTGTATGTTTTGTCTTTATAAAAGCAGAAAACCAAATAAAAATTTTATTAAAAAAAAAAAAAGAAAGGGTTCTTGCAACACAGAGTACGGTACTTCCATAAGTTAACAACTTCAACATTTAGGATGTCGACTCTAACCAATTCATTTTTGTGCTTTTTATATGATAATTAGTACTCCTCCAAATGCTGTGTACAAAAATGTGTGTGTTAGGGGAAAGTGTGCCTAAGAATGCATATACTAGTGAAAATTGATTCTTGTTAAGAGCACCAAAGAAGAGAAATTCATTAGGCTGCATCCAGTGCTAGTTCTACTCAGAACAGACTTGCTGAAGTTATTGGAGATTAATAACTTCATTTGTTAACTAGGATCATATTTTTAAAAGTCAAAATGCTCTCCTTCCCCAGGAAACTGAGGGTGCCAAGAGTATGGGATAAGTTTATCTGCAATCCCTGATGTGTCCCCCTTTGCACCCCTTTATTTTTGCCCACATAAATGAATGGCTCCTCCTCCTATGCTAGGTAGGATCTGCTTAGTACCTCTGACAGTGCAAAAAAATAACAATTGCCTCCCTTGCCTCTACTAACTACCCACCCTAATGCTAGTGTTAAATTACAAAGGTAGAACCTAGTTTTGCATTACAAATGGTCAATGAGGGCAATGATGAACTTCCATCAAGGCTTGAGGGTGCAAGGAGTCATTGGTGTCTTCCTATGAATGTTGATAAATGTTCAGGTTTTGGCCTTGCAGAGCTTAGTTTCTTCTCTACTCCAACATGGCAGGATGAACAGCTGCTTCTAAAAGAAACCAGAATGTTAATTTTGGCATGTATGCCAGGATTTAAGCAAATAGAGCATTGCTGTCGGGGAGGGGGGGGATTTATTAATTTGGCTCCTTGCTGTAAGGCATTACATTTACAGTCAAACCACAAAGTAAGACTTAAAATGGCATATTAGCACACACATTATATTTATAGTTTTTTTATATATATAAAAAAGCTAGGATCTGCTTAAAGCAATTTAATATCTGTTTGTTGGGAAGGAAAGCCAGCATTACAAAATATGGTTTTATTTTTGCAGCTGCTGAATGAGGATATGAATTTAGGGGTGGAAATAGATGCAACTCAAAGGAAAACAAAAATAAAAATTATTTCAAAAGACACAGCTCGGATGATGGGCTCCTAAAGCCAAATCTCTGCTTTAAATGTCTTTTAAAAGCTTTGAACTGTGCCTTAAGACAACATTGACTTATGAATATATTGTTTAAAAAAATTAAATGTCCCAGGGAAACCATTATGGAGAACTCTAGGTGCTTGGTCTAGACCTGAGGGTCAGGTTTTGGTGGTGATGAGTGCTTTCTGTGAAAGAACTAGGAGTTCAAAGGCATATGGTCTGGCAGAATTATGTAGTACATTCCACCTGGGACCACAGGTGGAGAATCTCATAACTCTGAAAATTCCTTGCTGTAGAGAGCAAGTTCTAACAGCTGTCTCCCTGATTTGCTAGTTGTCTGTGTGCAGGAAATGTTTTGTTTGGCTTTTTGCTATAGTCCAGATATTTGGGTATATTACCACTACTAACCCTCAGCATTGACTACGCTGACTGGGGTTGATTGGATTTGTAATCCCAAACCCTAGAAGGCACCAGGGTGGAGAAGGCTGGCTTGAGACTTTTGAACAGGGCCGTCTTTAGCATATTCACTGCCAGGGTACAAAGATCCACCCAGCGCCCCCAAATTTAGTTTAGTCGCCCCCAAATGAACTTTTATTGAGCTTTTTTGGGAGAGGAAATCGCTCACCTATAACAACAATGCAACGGAAAAAACGTCTTTCGTTTCCTGACGCATCGGGAATATTTGATGCTACAGAGTAACAGAGCTACGGGGGAGGTGGGCAGGGACTTTTGCTCCATTGCTTTTCACTGCTGCCGATAGAGAGGGACCAGTATACAGTTAGGTATACATTTGGCGCCCCCCAGAATTCAGCGCCCGGGTGCCCAGCACCCCTTGCACCCCCAGGTAAAGGCGGCCCTGCATTTGAAGGCTGGTTGGCATCTGTCTGTCTCAGGAGACAATGGAGGAGTGCACCTTTAGGGGTGAAGTCAAACTGTTGGAAGGCTTGCTGAGATGGGAGAGACATGCTTTTTGCAGCTGGAGTAGATGAAGGTATCCGGTTGTGTTGCTGCAGATGCACCATTGTATTTCTTCTCTCTGTTCTGCTCCCAGTGGTCATTCCTCCTCTGGTCACTTCTGTAAATACACAGCCTGTCTGTCTCGAGGCTTTTTGGTCTTTGTAACACATCATATACATTGAGGATGCAGGATACATAAAAATAATAGTTATTACCCACATCATATTGTTTCAGCCATCCCGGAAAAGGGGATGGATAATGTGATGTTAAAAATCCTTCTTCCTCTCACATCAAGCTTCCTCTCACATGAGAACACCAAATGGTGCCTCAAGGAATAAAAGCATTACTCCCAAAATAGAGATTAGTGTATTTTGAAGAAAAGAACAATTATTTCCGCATACAACTCTGCCTCTAAGATGCATCTGCAAGTGGAAAGACCAGGCTTAACAGGGTGATTTAAAATCCAAAAGGAAACTACAAAGGGAAGCCCAACTTTATTCAAAAAATCTAACATATAAACTTTCCTTTTTAATAATGTTCAAGGGATCACTAATTTCATGTTACTGCTTGCAGCTTCAGGAGGCTCTTAAATTAATCACATGGTTTAGCAACAGCTGCAGCCACACTAAGAATATACATTTACAATTTCTTAAGTCAGCCTGTGGTCTTTCTTGAAATAGAGGCAAGTTCATTTCAAAACCAAGAAGAAAGTATATATTTGAAAAGTAATTATTTAGGTTAACCAAACAGCAGATTATTTTTAACATCACTGTTCCATAGATTTCAATATCTGGGCATCCTCTTACCACAAAGGTCTTAGAAAGGCACTTAAATTGTAGATCTGTTCTTCCATTAGGTACATCTGAAAATGACCAAAATTTGATATACAGTAGTTGGATATACTAATTACTAGTTGAGTTGCAGGCTCACAAAGCTAGCATTATTTGTCACTATTTTGGGAAGAGCAGGGTTTTTCTCTTGGTTGCTCAACAACCTCCTGCCAGCAAAACAAGTATATTGTCAGGCTCCTATTCCAGAATGCAATAACAGTGGCACTTACTTTGGAGTAAGAAACAGATCTTTGTTCAGGCACAGTATGAAGCGCAGGTCCAGGAGTGGTGAGGGTACATGAGGAAGACGAGTGATCCACAATGAGTTCCTCACACCTCTTCCTCCAAGCTTGTAAAGGGTGAGTCTGCTACATACGCACCTGCGAACACCTCCTATGCAGGTGCAACTGATCCCACCTACAACAGTGACACTTTGTTCATGGTGACAACACTGTGTCCTGTCCCTCTGCCTCCAGCTCCTCTTGTTCAGCATCTCCCCGCTCCCTAACGAATCTCTGCACACCTCAGGAGTGGGGCAGTGGGGAGAGCCAGTAGCTCTGCTTCCCCATCTGTGACACCTGTAGTTACAAGGGGCAGGTTCCCATCCTTCATCTTCTGGTGCCTGTTATCCTGCCCTCCATCAGCTCTATCTCCATCGTCCTCCTCTTCTGTTTGGGACTGCCGTGGCATGCCTGATCTTGATGGGACCGAGGGATTCATGGCATATACTGCTATGTGACTTTAACATAGTGCTACATTGGACCCAATATCATACCAGTCTTCAACTTAAGGACCAGAAATATCATTATTTGGACCCAAATACATTGGACCCAATATCATACCAGTCTTCAACTTAAGGACCAGAAATATCATTATGTCCACATGGTGCCCTATGTATTCAGGCATCATTTCCTGCCCTTATCATTAGTCTTTCCTGGTGTTGCCAGGCACCAAGCCCAGTGAGGACCTCTAAGGCAAGGGAGTGCAGCCAAGCAGCTGGAACTCTCCCGGCTCATGTGGCAGGAAATTGCCAGCCACCACTGCCTGTCAGAAGCAGCCAGTGCTTATTTCTTCAAGCATCTTGTAGGCATCAATACCTGTTAAAGGAATACCTTCAGCTATTAGGTAGCTCAGAGACAGTCCATCTTCTGTATTCTCAGGGGCTGTTCTAATATCCTTACAGTGGTTCAGAAGCCAGAAGTGTACTTTGCAGCACAAAACGAACTGCTAGGCATCTATGCTTACTGAAGTCTTCTAGATCCACTGGGCATCCCTTTCTAGATTGCTCTGCGAGTGTCGGCATTGCCCAATAGCAAGTAATCAAGTTACAGAAAAGTCAGACATCTCATTACAACACATACTCTAGGATTTATGCAACACAAATTTGTGCTTTGAATTTAGCTCCCTTTGTTGGTGGAGAAGAGAATAATTCGAAACGTACAGAAGATGCTTAAGATTTGCAAATATTTCTTGTTCCTCCAATTTTTGAATGAGGTATCTGTGCAATCAAGGAATGGGAAATACAGTTCTGGACTTAATTACGTATCTGTAAAAGAGATGAACTGTCTAGCTGGAATGTACAGTCTGGAGATAACCATATAAACTAGTTTCCTGCGGTGTTTTTGAGCTTCCTAACTTAAGATTGTGCCATTCTGTACTCACTCATATTTCTATTCTCTTATATTGCACATGAATAACTCAAGGAAATTGCTTTTCCATTCTATTTCCTGAAGTCCAAAATGCACCATTATTTCGTTTTGCTTTCTGACAGCACTGTTCTCAGTATTTTTGACCTGCATAAACCACAGTCTTTCAACTTATCTCAATGACTCTAAAATTATATTTTGACCTCAGTGTTCCCTTTGATTATAGTGCCCAACCATCCATTTCCCTCAGAACCATCTATCTTTTTTTCCTTCAGCTGCCTTTTCAATGCCTCGTGTTTTGTTTGGTTTTAAACCCATATATTAATTTTCTTTTTAGCCCTTGGAGAGCTTGTTAAAAAATATTGTTCTTCTTAAGAAGAGCTGCCTGTGGATATGCAAGTTATCAGATGAGTCAAATTAAAGGAACATGTGCTTAGCATTTGTGTACATAAGAGCGCTGGTTTGGTTTACTATGTCGGGGCTGGCAGATGTGGAGTCAAATCCTAGCTCTGGATTCACAAGGAAAGGCACAATTTAAACCATGGGCAGACACTCTATTGAAAAAGGTATCACAGATTGCACAGGTAGAGGAGTTTGTAGAAACTCTGAACACAGGATGTGGGCCTGTGAGGCTGCAACAAATTCAGGCTCTAGTGCTACACTTCTGCCTGACAAAAAGCACTCCCCCACCAAGGCTATTGGGGTGGGTGCAGATTTATTATACCTCACATCAAAGTAACTCTTTCTCTTTGACTTGATTGTGGCAGAGATGGATTTAGGGTATGGTGGGTGGTTCCCCTGCGCAGGGCACCAAGCTGGGAGGGGGCGCAAAATAACCGTTGCCACCACCTATATTTATATGGGTACCTACTGAGAAGATCCACAATAAAACAACCGTAAAGTAAAGGGACCCCTGACCATTAGGTCCAGTCGTGACCGACTCTGGGGTTGCGGCGCTCATCTCGCTTTATGGCCCGAGGGAGCCGGCGTGCAGCTTCTGGGTCATGTGGCCAGCATGACTAAGCCGCTTTTGGCGAACCAGAGCAGCACACGGAAACGCCGTTTACCTTCCCGCCGGAGCAGTACCTATTTATCTACTTGCACTTTGAAGTGCTTTCGAACTGCTAGGTTGTCAGGAGCAGGGACTGAGCAACGGGAGCTCACCCTGTCGCGGGGATTCGAACCACCGACCTTCTGATCGGCAAGTCCTAGGCTCTGTGGTTTAACCCACAGCGCCACCCGCGTCCCTAAAACAACTGTACCAAAAGGAATTATTGTGAAAATAAAAATATGCTTTGTGAGGAGGAGGAGGAGGAGTCCAATTTTGTCCTCGCTCAGGGCGCCATATTACCAAATTCCATCCCTGTTTGTGGCACGGTTGCCGAAAAGACTGGACCCCACTGTTTGTTTATTTATTATTTAATCCTTCATTAAAAATCTTAAACAGCGTCCGTAGTCTGGTGTCTTAGAACTTTGAATTAGTTTCTAGTTACTAGTGAGTTGTGAGCCAAACCTAGGTTACAGTCTCCCCTAAAGTGCATTGCCCCAGGGCTACAGCTGCCGTTTTCATTTTATTTTAAAGACAAGGAGAAAGAGAGGTGAAGTAAAGTAAGCAGATTAATTCTTGTCAGGCAGAAGTTAGGTTGGGGAAGGCCCATAGCTCAGCAGTACAGCATCCGCTTTCCATGCATAAGGTCCCAGGTTCAATCCCTGGCATCTCCAGGTAGGACTGGAGTGTTCTTGCATGAAATCCTGGAGTGCTACTGTCAGCAGTGTGGACAGTACAGAGCTAGGTGGATCAATGGTCCGACCTGCTATAAGGCAGCTTCCTGTGTTTATGTAAGGCCGTTGTAAAAACTACTGAGATATGTGCATGAAGCTATTTGCTTGAAAAACAGTATGCAAGTTATTTAAGTACTGTTAATAGAATTAAATTCTTTGTACTTGTGGCAAGTAATTTAGTATGTTAGTCCATGGTCATTAGATTATTTGCCGAATAAATCGCAGGGAAACATTTTTGTCTGAGTTAACTTCTTTCCATGGAATGATATTCTGAGCTTGTTGTATGTTACTGCCTTTGTTCAGGTGTACAACATGTTTCAACACCAGAGCCTTGGAGTTAAAGTCAATATTCGAGTGACTAAGCTTGTCCTTCTTCAAAGCCGTCCTGTAAGTTGGTGACAACCTGCTATGGTGGTGTTTTTATTTTGCTCAAAACAACTGTCTGAAATTGTGACTTTGATAACCATTAAATGATAGATGGGTTAAATAAAACAGCAGTGGACAGATTGCAGAGTTCCGCAACCCATGTGCTGTAGCCATCTTTGGTGAGGTTTTTTTCACTGAAGTGAGGAAGTGGCAATTTACCTGAAATTGACCTGGATCCACTGGTGGGCTGCAGTTAATTTCTGCCCCAAGTCTGGAAGCCCATTGCTAGATTTGCCTTCCTATCATCCTTAAGATTGACTGCTTTTGATTATATGTATATATGCTCCTAGGCAGAGCAGGGTTAGAGCAGAGCCTGAAGAAATCTAGTTGAGTAGGGAGAGATTGTGGAGAAATCTGCCAGGGCACAGGCACAACCATGGCAGAATCTGGAAACCAGGGACCAAAACTAAGCTAGACCCTGGCAGAGTATTGGCAGAACTGTAGAGAATCTACAGTTTCCCCAGAAATGATTTTACAGATCCCATTGCTGGTTACTAGATAGAACATGATTTTATTGCTTGGGCTGCTAAAATACTGCTTGGCAATCTTCATCCCACTGCTCCCTGTACTAGTGCAAAGTGAAAATGCACCCCCTCTGCTATTGCAGCAGGATTTCTTTCCCATGCAAAGTGGTCCTCTCGTCTAGGCAGCTGCCTCTGTGAAAGCTAGCCCTGGCAGAGTTATTCCTCCGGTCCATATTAGTTGCCCACATTTCGTCCATATTAGTTTGTCATGAAAGATTCTTGGTTCATGTTCTACTGATGGCCTACTCATTGCTTGCAGATTTGCCACCTGGGTTGATCCCCTCCCTGCTTTGTGTCTCTTCAATTCCTCTTTGTTTCCTGAAGGCCAAGCTGTCCATTGGGCATCATGGGGAGAGGTCCCTGGAGAGTTTTTGCCATTGGCAAAATGAAGAATTTGGTGGCGCAAAGTACCTTGGAAATAATCAGGTGCCGGGAGCACGAGATGACACCCCTCCAGTGGATGCTGCTGTCTTTGTCACCAGGTAGTGATTTTAATTCAGATTGATTGATCCCCTCCAAGACTGGCTTTTTTTATTTCAGGTGCATCCTGCAACATGTTCTTGACACAATAATAGTTGTATTACTGATGGTGGATTTGTTCTGCTTTAGTTTGTTTTGTGATGCTTCCTCAATGCTACCACATTATTTCTGCCTGGAGGGACTATAGGAAATCAAAAGCATGACAAAAATACAACAGAACATTTCTGGTATGAAAAGTTACTGGATTTCAGCAGGACATTGCAGGATATGCACTGATTGGAAATAAAGCAGTATGATTGCCCCCAAACATTTGTGGGCATAAGTAGTATTAAAAGCAGGATCACATGTGACTGTCCTAGTATAATCATGAGCACAGATAATCATGAATGAACAATAAAAAGGAATGTCTGGAGGAACCCACTGATGACTCCCACTGGCTCTAGGTTCTGAGAGGCTCTTGGGCAAGATGCTGTCATTTGTCATTTGGAGAGATGGAAAGAGATTCTTAAAGCAGTGCCTACCCTATCCCATAAGGGACACGGGTGGCGCTGTGGGTAAAAGCCTCAGCGCCTAGGGCTTGCCGATCGAAAGGTCGGCGGTTCGAATCCCCGCGGCGGGGTGCGCTCCCGTTGCTCGGTCCCAGCGCCTGCCAACCTAGCAGTTCGAAAGCACCCCCGGGTGCAAGTAGATAAATAGGGACCGCTTACTGGCGGGAAGGTAAACGGCGTTTCCGTGTGCTGCGCTGGCTCGCCAGATGCGGCTTTGTCATGCTGGCCACGTGACCCGGAAGTGTCTTCGGACAGCGCTGGCCCCCGGCCTCTTAAGTGAGATGGGCGCACAACCCCAGAGTCTGTCAAGACTGGCCCGTACGGGCAGGGGTACCTTTACCTTTTTACCCTATCCCAGAGTGCTCTTTGCAAGAGGCATCCCTTTACTCTTTGCTTTTCACTGGGGACTTGGGCAGGGTCTTTCATTCTGTGTTGTGTCCAAAGAAGCTGAACTCCTCCTTGCTTCTTCTGTCCTGCCCTAGTGGAAAGTGGAACTGGCAGAACTATTGGCACAATGGGCTTCTTTCTAATCACTTATCCTTATTAAATGCCCAACACTGTTATCAAGCATTGGCCATTATCAGTAGCAAAACCACATAAACAGTCTTAAATATGGGCCATGCTGCCTATTGTGGCTGTCCTCTGGAGAGCCCCTCCCTGTTTCAAACTTAGGGCTTTTCTCATCACCAGACACACACTGATGTTTGCTTATTTATACTCCTGCCACCGCTGGGGTCTGCTGACCCTGACTTTACAACTTTCTTCTCTGCTTTTCTTTCTCCATCCTTGTTACACATCTGTATTCTCTCCCCTCTTAATTCACCAGAGGTGGTGCTGCTTTCCTCCATCCCCTCTTACACATCTGTATTCTCTCCCATCTTAATTCACCAGAGATGCTGCTGCTTTCCCTTACCCCTAATGCAGTCAGTATCTTTCATCTCTTTCCTTTGTTTCTTCTGGTTCAGTACCTGGTTCTATGCTTGTTCGTTCTCAATTTCACACTCACTCACACATTCCTTCTCCTTGCCTGCCCTCCTTTCTAGTCCAGCCACGCTCACTCTCTCTTCTCTTTCTCTTGCGCTGGATTCCATTCATCTGCAGTCTCTTTGCTGCACCTCCTCCTTTCACTCCCACTTCCTTTCCCCATCTCTTTCTCAGTGGCTGGGACCTGCATGCAGTGCATCTCTCACCCCACTGTTATTCTCTGCCAGGTTGAATAGTGCTGCATCCCTTAGCTTGGTCACCCTGCTTCATCCTTCCTAGCTTATGTTCTGGTCAGACTGCCAACACCTTAGCATGCTGGAGGCCTTACCTTGCTTTAGATTCACAGAAAACTTAGTTGAGTTACTGAAACTGAGTTTTAAAAAATACTATGTTTGTAAATGGTTCATATGTATATTTGGTAAACCCTTTTACGTGAAAGGTTCACAATATTTCCAAAGACATGTGCCAGCCAGATGGTGGAATGGGGAGAGCCATATTTTTTTCCTGTGTTGCATTTCCCCCTCCTTCATAATCCACCTTTGGTGTCAACATAGTTATTCATTTTTAAGATTCAGGGTGAGTTGCAAACCAAATACAATTAAAATAGAAGAACAGTTTTAAATGGTCAATAGAGCTTCATGAAACTCAGTTAAAATCTTATCACAGAATTAACAGCCGAGCTTAAAGTCCCTACAGGATGGGAGAGGTCTTAACCAACTTCAAAAATATCAAATGGGGCTGGTCTAATGCACGTGCTTCAGCAGGAGGATCCTCAGTGAGGTTGCCACTGCTGAAAAGTCTTGGCTTATTATAGTCTAATTTCAGAATCCCAAGGCACATGGATTAGGGCCCCTGTGATTATTGCATATAGACCTCTTTGGGTAGCATTGCTGGAGAAGCAGAGTATAGAAATTGGGGGGGGGAGTAAAAGCGGGTGATACCTTAGATTCCCAGATTTACCTGTGCTTTAAATTAATTAGCACCCTTGCTTCAAAATGTAACATTACATTTACATTACATTACATAATGTAATGTGCTCTGGTCCATGGGGGTCACAAAGAGTCAGACACGACTAAACGACTAAACAACAACAACAACAACATGTAAATTAATTAACACTCTTGCTTCAAAATGAGGATAAGTGCTAACCTCTTGATCTTCTTTGAATCCTGTAGCTGAGCTGTGATTGGATTCTCTGATTTCTCTCCCCACTTCGTTGTGAGCTTTAACACACACTCAAGCACACTATATTGTTGAGAGGGGCAGCAAAGGTCCAATATTTTACATATTCTCCTTCCTTACCCACTGGGTTGATTTTCCAAATGGAATGCCACATGTACTTAAGCGTTTGGAGCAGCTAGTCACTCAGGGAAAACTTGGGACACCCTCCAAATTATATGGATTTGGAGACGTTTACAGAAGTAATAATAGATGGGGTGCTCCAGCTGCCACTAGTTTGGATAATGGACTCAAAGATTAGCTCATTTTGTGAGAGAATTGGGCACCATACCAATGTAGGGCTTCAGCAAAACCACATCCACCCTGCAAAATAAGCCAGCGCTGTGTTGCCACAACCTTTCCCTTCCTGTATATCCTTTTGCTTTTGCTTTTTTGTCCTGTTTGAACTTTCCCCTTCATAGGAAAGGACAGTGTGCCAGTTGGAAGATTTCTTAGCTCAACTCTTTTTGGTTTCTGTGGCACAAAAGTTAGCATTTTCAGCTAGGTGCTGCAAGCTTCTTCATTAAACGTTGGCTTTCAAAATGCATGTACATGTCCCTGGATGCTCCCCAGTGTGTCCAGTTTGGAAGGGCTAAGCTAGGGGAAAGCAGGAGCTGGTTTTTCAACAGCTGCAGCTGCTACAGTTAGCATAAGAACTAAGCTCTTAAGGGTCAGCCTCTAAAAAGGAACTTTTTTCTGGATATTGTATGGCAGGTTATGTTTGTTTGGGCAATGGAGGACCCAAACACAGCTTATCTCTGGGAACTTGTATTTTAAATTTCTATTTATGTGATTGCACCCCACCTTGATAGCATGCTGTAACATAAGAAAAGCCAAGACAATCTACTCCAGCATCCTGTTCTCATGAATGCCTCTGGGAAGTCCAAAAATGGAATTCTCCCCAACTGTGATTCCCAGCAGCTGGTCTTCAGAGGTATACAGCCTCTAACAGTAGAGGTACAACACAGTAGTCACTAGCAGCCGCTGATAGCTTTATCTTCCATGATTTTGTCTAATCCTCCTTTAAAGCCGTTGGTGGCCATCACTGCCTCTTGTACAAGGGAGTTCCATAGTTTAACTATGCATTTTGTTTAGATGAAGGGCAGTATTAATAATAATAATTTCACCTTTGCACTTTGCTTTCTGCAAGCTTTCCTGAAGCTAGAGGGTGGGGGCACAATTAAAAGGATTTTCTGATACATTATTTTCCTTATGACAAGATGTAGCGTGCTTGAGGAGAAGGACCAAGGAAAAGTTTTCATAGGACTGTGCAGAAACTACCCTGAGATATTTCCCTAATCTTATCAGAAATTCTTTTTTTGCTGCCCTTGAAGTTCCACAGATGTTTCTCTTCTGCAATAATTAAATTCACCTCGAAATGTCAGTTCTGGTGAGATTTGCCAGTAATTCTCTGCTAATTGCTGAAAAAGAACCTTTATTTGATGTGCTCCTTCCTTCCTTCCTTCCTTCCTTCCTTCCTTTCTGCCACACCACTCTACACTGAGCTCCCTGTATCTTATCCCTCTCCCTCTGCACTGGCTGCTACTGGATCTGATGCAGTAGGCAGCTTCCTTAAAAATTGTGTCCTTCACTTGTTGTCTGAAGTGGTACAGGCCTCTTTACCACCACATTCAGCTGTGTGCATATATATGGCCTCAGAGCTATTCCATCACAGAATGTGGCTAGTGGTGGACTGACAGTCAAATCTTTGTTGTTATGAGCAATGGCCAACAGATAGGCCAGGGATTTTGCCTCTGAATCAAGTTAAGATTGTAGATGTGGAAATGAATTTTTGTAATGCTCTCACACTCTTGCACATACAGACACAAAACACCCATCTATAAAAAGCTAGGACATTAGGGAGAAAGGTTTGGCATAGTTTTGTAGGTTACTAGTGGAGATTAGTGTAGACACAGCTCATAATTCTACCACCTCAGTCAACCTCCCCATTCTGCATAATGTAAATACGCAGCTAGCTGCCTACATTTTCTTTCTCTGTTCCCCTTCCTGCTGCCACGTTAAGAGCTCCCCAGTGGACCGTTTGGTGTTGAGGGATAAGATGATTTTGCAGTCCTGTCAATCACAGGTGGCTAATTTTGCTGCACTGTTTTCTAGTGTGGAGCAGTGGCATTTAGAGGGGAGCATCCAGGGAATCGCCTGGAACCACCAGCTCCCATTGTCATAATTTTGGTACCAGAGTGCAAGAGGGAGAAATGTCGTGTTTTTATTTGCTAAGCTAGCAAGCCCCTTAGGGGAAGAGGCTTTTCCAGCCGTGGCCTCCCGCCACTTACTCAAAGTTCACAATAAAAGCATCTGTTTGATTTACCAGTTTATATAACATAATAAATCCTTAAATAAACTTCTGTCGAGCTGGCTCTGGGAACTCCTGTGAGGGTGCTTGCGCCAGCTGGGTCAGGAGCAGAATGTCATCAGCCGCCTTGTGGAAAGGCTTGTATTTCAAGCATTTAGATGCAGTAGAGCAGCCCTGGATTCCTTTGGTTCACTGGTAGCAGCTTAAGAGTTTCTTTTGCTTCAGCCTGAATTAAATCCTTTTTGATGACTCTCCTGAAAGAGAAGCCTGGAGATGGCTTTGGGAGGAAAGAAAAATGAAAGCAATGGATTGACAGTGTGCATTTAATAAATTTTAGTTATGATGCATTGAATCGCCAAGGGTAAAGATGGGCAGAGCATGGATCTGGAAACATTTTAACTGTATGGTCAAGATTGGGGTGGAGGGATTGATTCTGCAAGTTTGCAGCAAAAGCTGGCCTTGGATAGTGCCAGCTGGATGTCACACCGGGTATATGCCTCTGTTCTCGGTCCCTGGAGCAACTGTTTTTAAAAACCCAGCCGGATGGGTGGGGTAAAATATTAATAATAATGCTTTATAAACATATTAGTAGTTTATTCCATTTTATGAAACAAACAGCATACAATAGTTAAAGGAAAAGTACAAAAACTTTAGAACATTACATTCATAGTTTGAAATTCTCAAACATCTCAAAAATTTTGGTTTTGTTAAAAATTAATTGGAACAAAGTAACGAGGTGGGTAAGTCCACCTAAAGCCAGAGGACTCTTTTTTTTGTATTGAGGGCTGCATTCCCTCTTGGTCAGCCCTCTAAGGGGCCTCATGCCAGCGATGGGCACAAGCAAGGCGGAAGTGGGCAAGGCTATCTACTTGCCCATGCTCAAATACAGCACACACATCCCGCGCATTTTCTTGTACACTCAAGTGCACGCACACACCAAACTTGGACAACGTTTAATGGGGATTAAACAGACTGACAGAGGATCAGTTCTAGCAGGGCTCTTCTGATGTCTATATACACTCATTCACCTGCACACTAGCTCTCTCCTGCCCCAGCAATTAGGTCATGGGGGAGAGCATTTCAGACCAAATTGCTGTGGGGAAGGGTGACCTCGGAGACTGCAGCTGCCGAGAATGCCCCTGAAAATGCCACCCACACCCGGGTACCACAATTAAATTTAGAAAGGTTTTCTATTTGCTCCGATAGAGCAGTTTTTCCAAGCCTAATCACGTTGTGTTTAGTGCATATATAAATGTGCAAGACTGGATTCAATGGTTTTATTATATGTATATGCTTATTTTAATGAATATGTTGTGCATCATAGCCTTTCGTGTTTTTAATTACTATTTATTATTTTTAGGACAGATTTTTGTGTCCACAAGGATGTGCCCTGTGACACTGTGGGTAAGTAACTGAGCGATTACGTTCCATTTTTATGAGGGTTGGTGAAACCAAGGCACTTAAGATGGTGTTGGAATTCAACTCCCATCAGCTCCAGTCAGCATGGCCAGTGGTAAGGAATGATGGGAGTTGTAGTCCAACAATATCTGGAGAGCCACAGTTTGCCCAGTTCTTATCTATGTTGCCTTTATTTTATATGTGGAGTTTTCTGATCAAGCTCAGAAACCACTGTCACTAATTCCAGTGCGCATAAAACATTATGGGTAACTTGCAACTTACGGGGTATTTAACTTGTAAGCATTTTAATTTTTTTTAAAAAAAAATTAAAGGGAGAAGACAGAGGGTGGGCGTCTGGGCAAATAAAGTTTGGCAATGCCACCCACCATTGAACCCAATGTGTTTTGACGCAGAGTAACCCCAGCGTAAGTTGAGTCGCCTGTACGTAATACATTTGCATATTCATATTTATTCCCTCAACTTTTTCTACACTGTGTGCTAGACCTGGCAATTAATTCATCTTTGCTTAATTGGTTTGACATTGTGACACTGGAAATTGTAGAATTGTACAGTGAAGTTGCTAAGGCAATCAGCATCTGGGTTAACTCTTGCTAAACTGAACTATTCTTCATTGTAAATAAGAAATGAATGTCCTAAAACTGAAGCTTACAAGGTATAAATCAGAGTACTTTGAATGAAAATCCAAGTCAATTAAAGGAAAAGGAATGTTCTATAAGAGTATCATGTACTGCTAGAGCCAAACCCTGATAATCATCTATGTCCCATAGACTGGGAGGGGGGAGCATTTTTTCAGTCTGAGGGCCACATTCCCTTATGGACAATCTTCCAGGACGGAGGCACATACCAGTGATGGGTGGGGCTAGAAGCAAAGGTGGGTGGGGCAATAAATGCAAATTTTACCTTTGTACAATAGAAGAGTTTCTGCACATGCTCACACAGCCCTCTCTGTCTTCTGTCCAGCCAAACAAGAGGTATTATCATAGTTCAAGGAAGCAGTGCAGCCAGGCTAAGACATATAAGGAGAGTACAAAGAGGGGCTCTTAAGGGATTTATCCTGGAGAAAGGGTGTGTGGCCTGGGGAATGTTCTGTGGGCCAGATAGAGTGGCCCCTAGCATAGATTTTTGTGGTAGAAAATAGTAACGTGCAGTAGATAGACTGAAACCGGGAAAATTAAATACATTTCCAGGATCCATCCTTTCTTAGACGATTGCATGACAAGGATTGTACAGTAACTTCCCTGTTTATATCAATGGGAATTTGGCTGGATCATGCTGCTTGGGTATATCTACACTACAAGCCTCTATCAGTTTTCTTTCTGTTTAAATGTCATAGCTTTCTCCAAATATACTAAGGAATTGCTGAATGCGTTAGAGATCCCTAATGCCGCTTCTAGAACTGTATATACCAGATTTCTCTCTCTCTCTCTCTCTCTCTCTCTGTGTGTGTGTGTGTGTGCGTGTGTGTGTGTGTGTGATTGACAGCTTTAGTGTAGGATGGCAAGGTGAAAAAGAGGGCAGAGCTCCTATACCAGGGGTGCCCAATGTGGAGCTCTCCAGATGTTGGACTACAAATCAGATCAGTCACAGGTAGCATAGCCAGTGGCCAGGATGAAGGGAATCCATCAACATCTGGAGGTCACCAGGTTGGCTGTCCCTATCCTACACCTTTAACACTTGTGTAGAAGCAGGAATTTCAGTAGGTGTAGCATTCATAACAAGTAGTACATGGTTTGGATGCTTTATTTTCTTTGCCATACCTGACCTGTTCATCCCAATGCACCTAAAAACATGGGGCACATAATATACATAGAGAGCAAATTCAAGGATAAGGCTAAGGCAAGTTGGTTAACCTGTGTCTACTTGGGTTATTTTGCACCTTTTACGTAATTATGTTGGTTTTTGTAGTTTCATTGACTTTTTTTTCTTGCTTGTAAGCTGCCTTGGGGCTTCTAGAAAGGTAAAATAGAAATGTTTTAAATAATAAAATGTGATAGTTGAGGACTCATAGTTGAGTATAGAGTATTTATAGTATAACTTACATAGTTCAGTTTAGTTGGGTAGGAGCAAAACTCCAGTCCTTAGAAATGTGTATTTTGTGTGAAGACTTTATTGCATGTTTCATAGAAGTAGATATTTTTTCAGCTTTAATATTTCCTTGCTATATCTGCTTTCTGTTAACATTATAGCGCTAAGCATATTTTCTCAGAAGTAAGTCTCTCTGAATTCACTGAGATTTATGCCCCCAAAAAGTGTGTTTAGGATTATAACTGTAGACTTTATCAAATACTCAGTTTGTGTTTGCAGATTTTAGTACAGTCATAAAGGGGAGGAATTTGGAAACTTCCACTTTTGACTAACCAGAGTTTGCTGTGTTGCCTGTATCTGCACGTATTATTAGTTTTAACCATGGTTAGCTTAAACTATCCAGCTTCAGTAACTGTGGTTGAAAGTTAGCCTTTCTGAAACTAAACAATTTGGTCTGATGTCAGTATAAGGCATCTTCTTATGTTCCTAATGAGCACAATTCCCTCTTCGGCTGCCCAGAGAACTTTTATGTTAAGTGTCGGCACACAAATAACATAAATTAATTAATTTAAAAATGGTGGCTATGCACAGTGGCCAGTGTTTCTGTGTATTCTCCATTCAACTTGTATTAAGCCAGATACATCTAATGATCCAGATTCTGCACAAACCGAAGTATTTTCTTGGAAGCTGTGCTTGCTGGAGAGAAAAAATGGCACCAGGCGGCTTGCATTTGTATTTTGGCAGGGTGTGCTTGCTGGAATGGATTGCTCAGGGAATGGAATTCAACTGCCAAGGTAGCTTTGAAGGTTACATAATGACTCAACCAAGCTCAAAAATGGGGAAAAAATATGTAGGTATGTATATGCGGGATAAGACTGTGCTGGCTGCTCCAAGAATCAGAACAACCACATTTGTGTTGGAAAGAGTCTGCTGGCACTTAATGTATTTGCTCAATTGGTTACCTGGCCCCAAAGGACAGCTGAATTCTTTCTTTATTTGAAAAAAGAGAGAGAGAGAGAAAGGAGGATTTAATGGAAAAGGCATGCAAATTTCTAGCAATAGCATTGTAAGCAGCGTAACTGCAAAGAACCCACAGCCTCGCCCCCGCCCCCCACCAGTACTGAAATGCAGGCGGCCTTGCTTTTATGCCGTTCAGGGTTCCCTGTTGACAGAAGCTAGTTAAACAGTCTGTGGGCTGCAGCCGTCAGCCCTCAGCCATATCTCTCGTGTTGTGACTTGAATCAGTTCTCCTGTTTCCTGCTGAAATCTCTGTTCCAGCCACGCTGCCTTTGAGCGAGCCAAACAGTGAGAGTTCAGCGTCTCGCTCTTAATATCCTGTGGAAGGAGACTGGACGAGCTTTGCATAGCTTGTCAGAGTCTAACCTTGTTTTGTAGGCCAGCATGTTTGTAACCCTTTGCAGGTTTTAGGGCAATCTCCTTTGCTCTTGCAGCCCAGAATGAAAATGTGAGACATGAATTGAGTTTAAAGAGTCACGACTTTTTTTTTGCAATAGCAACTATCTGCAATTGGATGACCTTAGCTTAGCTATTTCCTGGGGGCATCCCTAACTTGAGGATAAAGCTGGGAGAAGTTCCTGCCCTCTCCCCATTTGAGTGACGTCACCAGGCGCTGGATCTGAAAATTACCTCTGTGACTTTCTTTAGCCACTTGCATTGAAGGCAAGTCAAGAGAGGCTGCTGGATGCTGGTCAGCATCATTCAGAGCAGAGGTTGGCAACCTTATCCGAGGATGGGCCAGTTCGATGCTCCATCTGTCAGAGGATGGGCCAGAGCGTGTGTGCACGCGTGCTCTTCTGGGTTGGAGGCATAGCTGTCAACCGTCCCTTATTTGGCGGGAAACTCCCTTATCCCAGCACCGTGTCCCGCTGCTGTCCCTTATTGATGAAGTGCCTTAAATTTCCCAGGTTTCAAAGGAAGTAGCTCCTCTCCCTCCCTCCCTGCCGGCCTTCAACTGTGTTGCTTGGCTGCGTTGCTCACCCAACAAGGAGTCTAAGAATGACTGCCAGGTGGAGCTTGCATGCCTTGTGCCGATCAAATTGGCCGCGTTGCCTGGGGACTCGCCTTTGCTCAGCGCTTCCCAGTGGAGAGGTGACGGTGGTTTTCCTTGCTGCATCCCCTTTGCCAGATTGCTGCGCTGTGGGAACCACTGCTTGAGGCTTCGTTTGGCTGCTGGCTGGGCTTTCTGCCTTTGGCTCGGAGGAGCTCAGAAGTTGAACATACCTGTGCTTGGAAAATCCCTTATTTTGGCTGCTGATCCCTTATTTTTGAGGGTGCTGGTCCCTTATTTTCAAATCTGTAAGTTGACAGCTATGGTTGGAGGAGGGCCCGTGAGCGTGCTCACACGCTATTTCCAGCACTCCTCCGACCTGACGGTAAGAGTGGGCGGTGGCAGGGGGCACCATGGGCCAGTTAGACAAGCCTTGTGGGCCGCTACCGGCCCATGGGCCTTAGGTTGCCGACCCCTGATTCAGAGGTATGATTCCTCCAGAGCCCCAGGATAGCTCCCCCTTTCATGTTCCCTCAGACCAGCTGGCAATAAGGGATAGATCAGATAAGCATCCCTTCACCCTGAAGAGTTAACCAGGGCGCTTTACCCTAGGCTGGATCTAGGCACATCAAAAAAGCATTTCAGGAAAACGTGTTGTAAACTTCATATGGGAAATCACATTGGTGAAAGACGGGGCTCCACAACGCCCTCTGGTGTCACAGTGTTATAATGCACTTAAAACACCTTTTCTTTACATTCTCAACTCACAGAAGGGCAATAAGTTAGACTTGCTGTGCAATGAAAAGATGGGTGGGTGACCAGGAATGAGGGCAGCACTGTCAGTGAGATGCAATGATTAGAGTGTTGGTCTGTGATCTAGGAGACCAAGATTCTGACTTAGCATTGGAGCTCACTGTGTGACCTCTGATTCTCAGAGAGCCAGTGTGGTGTA